TCTTATAATTTAACATCCACTAAAGGTTAGTCCCTTTGAAGCTGCATGACAGTATTTCATAGTTTAACATTATTTTCATTATAATATTTTGAATCAAAAAATTTGAATATTAATACAAACTTGCTTAAATATTTTTTACTTTTTTCCCTTAATTTTTTGTTTCTTTCAAATCAAAATATCCAATATATATATAATATATATATATATATATTATGTATACATATATATATATAATATATATATATATATATGTATATATATATACTTTATATCTTCGTCCATTCTATCACCTATTATAATTTTTGTTGGTATTTTGTACATATTAATAAAGACACAATGCGTATACATACATATACACATACATCTAATTCTTTTTTAATTATTTGTTATTACATGTTAATAACTATTAAAAAGAAACTGATAAAACCTAAATTACAAGACGATGTATGTAAAAACTAACTAAACTTCAATATTAAATTTGATAAATCTCCAACGCTAAGGACGCAGACGCTTGTCGTGCATTTTCTGATATATTGGCATGGCTGCGTCAACGCACTTTAGAACAGATTCATTCAGCTCGGAACGTTGTGGCAGTGGCTCTGGCTTCTTAAAACAGGTGCTGTCGAAGGCATTCTGATAAACCCCCATTACTTTGTTACCTTGTAGCTGTAACTTCGATGCAGCCCAGTCCCTAACAACACCATCACCCGCCTCCCAAGAGAGTAGCTTGTCAGCGTACTTGATGCCCAGAGTTTGGCAGAACTTTCGAAGGATGCCTTCTGGATCAGACTGCAAATCGTCTGAATCAATTATAATCGGTTCTCGTTCAATTCCACTTGATATCAAATGCTCGTATAGTTGAAAGTGGTCTCCGTACGCATAGGCTTTGGATCCCGACATCTCTAAAACCTCGTCTATACGCTGAGATTCCGCTGACATACCAAGGCTTGAGAACATCTTATTCCACGATTTATATAGCTTTAGAGGATGACGTATCATAAACGTGTGACGATATCCACTTG